TTCGAAAGGAGAGAATCTCTTTTAATTATGCCGGCGAAGGAAGATGTCTTATGGATGCGTCTACCCTAGCAGATGGCTGATGAAAGGCTACAACATGAAGTCTTAGATGCTAAGGATGTTATGCAAATGATTTCTGCAGGGGAAAAAAAAAAACTGGTAAAATGTGGGGAAAAACGTCCAGACCTCTTCCTGGAAGGAAGAAGAGTAGGGAGTCCTTAAAATGTGTAGCTGCTGGTTAGATTGGCTGGACAAATACTGTACCGTCGTTGATCAAATCAGCCTGCAAAGAATGGTCGGCCACATTTGGTGGGAGCAAAAGCCCAACAGATATTCAAGCTATTGTCATGTGAGAAATTTGATTTCATGTTTTTCCACCCTCCACTGCCTTCGCTGACATTTCCCCTAACAATGCTATTATGTGCTGCACCAGTAAGACAGCGTAGTCAATAAGCTGTCGTGTGACTTCAGATAAAATGGAGTGATCTTATCTTACCACAGAACAATTAGATGCATCAAATTACTTTTAAAAAATCACACAGCAGTGAGCTGTGTGCATACCAGTGACAGGGCCTGTTCCCAAATATCAGAGCTCCTCATGTCCAGCCAAACACCTCTGCACTAGGACGCTAGCTCTAATGGATCCTCCCACATGTGTGCTTGAAGTGTTCTGATTCAGAATCATGCCTTGCTGTTTGTAAGGGAATATTGGACTCACCAGAGTAGGGATCATACTTTCTCTCTGCTATCTGAAATAGCTAATTCTAATCAATCCACCCTCACCCGAAATGAGTTCTTCCTGCATGAATTACCTACATTCACTGCCCAGCTTGACCTCGTTCCTGAAATGGATAAAGCAAATGACTCAGTCCAGAGGGAGGGGGGCATTGACTAAGTGCTTAATTAGGCGCGCAGCCCTTATGTGGTCATTCTCCTACAGTCGGAATGACAGGACCATGCCACGGCAAAATCATGAATTCGGTTTACTCTCCCTTGCCTGAGTCACAGTGGAATCAATGGGACAGCAATCTAAATTAAACATTAAGACAACCACTCTGCAGCATGTTTATGTAACTAGGCAGAGAAATAGCATGTGTCTCAGGACCCACCAGGGGAACTCAGTATCCATTCCCATATGTCCACACCAGGCCCTCTGCAAGGAGACTATGGAGCCCTCTGGAAAGGCTTTGGGCCCCTGAGGTAAAACCTAGGTAAACATGATGCCAACCCAATTTTTTAACCTCGGACTTTGGCTTACAAATCTTTAAAAGTCCAGTGGCTACTGTCCAGTTAAAGGCAGCAGGAGGAGCCCAGCTTCAGTGGGTATCTGCAGGTGCAAGGGGAACCAAAGGTGCCGACTCTCAAATACACTGCCCTTTACTTGGAGCCGAGGAAGCACTAAATTCGTATATGACAAAAGGGAGCCTTCTGACTTACTTGATAAGAGAGCATTTCTCAAATTTTAATGTGTATGAGAATTGCCTGGAATCTTATTGAAATGCAGATTCTGATTTAGAAGATGTGAGGAGAGTTTTAAGATTTTGCATTCTTTTTTTTTTTTGGTTTTTCTCCGGTACCTGGAACCGAACTCACGACCTTGCGCTTGCCAGGCAGGCGCTTTTGCCACTGAGCTAAATCCCCAGCCCCAGATTTTGCATTCTTGATAAATTTTCAGCTAATACCAATACTGTTTGGGCCAAGCAACATACTTTGAGTAGCGTTCCCTCCCTTCTAGCCAACTCAAACACCAGAGGGAAGGAAGAAAATGAAGGCAGTCAGTACTTTGGTGACAAGATGTGGTGGAAGCAGGGGTGGGCAGTCTGGAGATAAAAGCCACCAAGAACAAACCATCGTGGAATGCGTGTGTAGGCTGGCTTGGATGGAACCTCCTCTCTGGCTTTCCATTAGGTGATCGTTTACTTAGTTAAGTAAGCAGATGGCTTGTATGTAGAAGGTGACACGGTGAGACTTAAGGTCATCTATATTTCCTGTCTGCCTTTCCAGGCACAGCCTCTGGGCAAAAATGCCCTGGCATGTGAAGAAAGAACAAAAGCATGAAAGGACAAATTGGTGGTCATCCACACGATTAACTGAGTTGATGAACCCTGAGTCCCTGTAGAGCTGGAGAGAGTGAGGCCTAAATCCAAAATTCAGCCCAAGTCTGTCTTTTATGACTTTTTCTTCTTATTATCTTTGTAACAAGGCTTTTTTATTAGCTTGCAATTTCCTGCCAAGTTGATGAAATCTCCATTATGTTTTATAGTACAAAATAAGAGGATTGGGGAGATTTTAAAAAGGTTTCTTCGTTAGAGATCCTGCCTCTTCTCTGTGTCTATCTGTCTCTCTGTCTATCTCTGTGCCTGTCTCTATCTCTGTCTCTCTGACTCTCTCTATCTCTGTCTCTGTCTCTGTCTCTCTCTTTCTCTCTCTCTCGACCCCCTTGGTTTCTGAGACACATTTTATTTTCTATCCTTTTCTATATTAGAATAGAATAGAATATTTTCCTATATTCTATTATTTTCTTTTTAGCTGAAAAGTAGATATTTATTTTACTGTTTTGCTTTACAATCCTGGAGGCTGGTGTTTTCCATTTTGGAGCTCTTCATTTTGAACCACACATGTAATTACTGCTGTCTTTATCCTGGGTTTTTGGAGGAATGTCCCATTCAAACTGCAAGGACAAAAGCAGCTGTCTTTCCAGGGGGTGAAACAGTAGCATAACGTCTTCATGTAAACACTGAAACCCAGAAGGAGAAAGAGGCAGAAAACTCCTGCAAGCGGAGAAACGAGAAACGGAGGGAATGAAATATTTCCACCTGTCTTTTTTTTCACAATTTAAAGAAAAACTAAACGCAACGATGCCTGCTGCATTTCAGAGTGAGCCTTATTTCTCACCCTGCAAAGAGAAAAAATGCCTTTTCTTCAAAGGGCCAAAGATCAACTGTTTTTGCTGTCGTTATTGTTACCAGTTTCCTGCATCTTTGCCTCCTGCTGACAATAGGCAGCTGGTCAAGGTCACAGAGGACAAGGTGCCTGTCCAAAGCTCTTGGGACTGCATGGATGAGCTACTATTGCTCTCGCTCCAGCCTCTGCTCCAATCCATACCCTGGCCTCCTTCTGGTTTCTTGAGTGACCCATGCTCCTCCAACATCAGGCCTCCAGCTGCCTGGAATGTTCTCTCCTTCTTCACTGCACTCACTTTAAATCATGCTTCATCTTTTCATTACCTTTCAGATTCATTTGCATTACCTTGTCATATGCTCTTAGGGCACTCTGTACCACTCACAGTTATAACCCATTACTTGTGTAGCAACATCTCCCTATCAGACAGCCAGCTTCATGAAGACAGTGACAGTCCACACTGGACATATTCATCATTGTATCTAGTACAACTCACTAGGTGATAACACTTTTTTTTTTTTTTTTGGTGCTGGGCCTTTAACCCAGAGCCTTGAGGATGCTAGGCAAGCACTCTACCACTGAGCCATAGCCCCAGCCCAGCAGTACTTCTTGGAGTGACCAATTCTCCTAATTCTAAATTAATCAAAAACTTTTCTAAAAAACATTTGAAAAGCTTATAGAACATCGTGTTTGTTTCAACCAGATTATCAAAGATTCAGTTAGTGCAATGACAATGTCATGTGGAATTTAGATTCAAAGTATCATGGAGGTAGGCTGAGACAAAAGTTTTTATATATGTCACAATGAGTTTCTACCTTTCCACTTGATGAAATTTCTAGTTTGTCAACTCACCCTTCTTGTCTTCCAGTTAGTGTCACTCGTCATGCTCCAGGAATTGTCTTCTTGGTATGGGGAGAGACGCAGTTAATTTTCCAGATAGTTTGCAACATCCAGTGATATAAAAAAATGCACCTCACCTTACTGATAACTGAGTACTTTTCAAGATAGTGTACACATATCTGGTGCCTGCATTACATTTTCTATTAGTACCAAATCAATCATGTATCATAACAAAAATCAGTGCGATGGAGTTGCCTTGACTTGCTTTCTATTTGTGGAAAGAATCCAGAGTCACCTGTGCTGGGTGAAACAACATGCTGTATAGTTCAGTATTTGAACATTTCTCAGATGGTCAACATCCTACACGCAAATAGATTGTCTTTCCCCACGCATGTGTGTAATTGTCCAGGATTTTTGGATATGAACTGAAAATTTCATTTAGTAGGATAAGAAGCTGTAGCTTGCCCATGTGTGCTGAATCTGAGCATCTGTGGGTATACATAGGGGGTGGACATATGCACACATGTGGAAACATTCTTGTGTAGCAATGAGAATTCTACTACTTTCTCTCCTGCAAAAGACAGCAAATTATTAATTAAAACATGAAATGGCATATTGCATTGGAAAAACATGAAAGATGGGCATATCTACTGATCATAAAATCCATCACACTTTCAATTTGGATGTAAAAGACCTAAAATACAAAGTTTACAAAAACTGTGGTGTCAAAAAGCACATTGGATGAAACACTTTGCTATAAAGGTAGATAAATCAATGAAAGCGATTTTTGGCTAATGAGTAATTTTGGGGCACAGGTCATTAGATGTATTGCTAAAGTAATGGTTTGCTATTCATTAAGAACTGATTTTTGGTGATTGCTTTAGTGCTGTCTAAAAACAGTACTGGCTCATGGCTGGTATGCTGTAGTATTTGAGGAAGAAGCAATTAAACTGTGTTGTATATTTCTATTGCCCCTATGGATACTCCCTGGGAGTCTATTTTGAACTAATACCTCCTGAGCAGGGCCCGGTATGCTCAAAGGCACAAGGCAGGGCCATGCTTGCCCTTCCACCATTCTCGCCCTTCCACCATTCTCATACACTGAGTGCTACAGGACTTGTTTTCAGAATGGTGGGTTCACAAAGTGCAGCTCAGTAACTTAAACCTCCAAAAATAATAACATCAACAAAGGAACAGCCCTACCCTCATCCATGGCTAAGAAATCCTAGCTAAAGGAACATTAAATTTCATTTTTCCTGGCCAAGTTTTCTTTATTCTGTTTTGATTTCCTTGGACAAATTTGTTAGTTTTGACAATCATTCAAAAGGGGGAAAAAAGGAATATACCTTAATCCGTGTCCATATACCTTGTTTAACAGAGCAGAAGACTGAGTGCAGAGGAGCGGCGCAATATGTTTAAAAATGAGTTTTCAGTTCTAAAGATTTTGTGCTCCATGGGTGGAGACAAAGTGAATCCACAAGAAAAGTGTTGGAAAGGAGACTGTTCTGTGGCTTGTACACTTTAAGTCTCTGGCTTCCTCCCCCTACTGACTTTAATTTTAACACTAAGATGCAGGAGAAGCAGAGTTCTGCACTGTCCGCTCACCTTCACTCTGGCCATGCTGCCCTGCTTTGCTTTGATGGTCAGCGGGTGGAGTAGCACATGATGTCAATCAGTTGGACCTAAAAGAGCATGCCTTAGAGGGAACTGTGACTCAGCTGTAGGCATTTTAAAAAGCCCTGCTTTATGCAGATTAAGGAAAGGGAATTAAAAGGGATCTTCTTGTAGAGTCATTGCTCAGTAATTTAACAGGGTCAAGGAAATGGAATGGAACATCATTTCATCTGGCATTGAACCTGACCTCAGTTTCCAATTCCTATTGGATAAACCCAACTGTTAACTTTAGCCCTCCCCACCACACACCTAACTTCTACACTAGGTTTAAAACCAGCTAATTTCTTCATTCTATCTTCTGTCTCCTACCCTATGCTTAAAAGCAGCTGCCTTCCCTCTGGGTAGGGAAGACTACACCATGCTGCTGTAGTTGTTGTGCTAATAAATATTTTTACCTCAATCTGTTGTCTCTAGGTCTTAAATCAGCACAACACTGGCCAGAGCTATGGAACAATAAAATAAGTGGTACAGTCTTTGTAGGTCCAGGATGCAGGACAGATGGGGATGTATGGAGCACAAAGGGGCGGGAGCTGGTGAACACAAAAAGAATATAGCCAGCACATCTCCTAGGGTTGCTGTGAAAGTTATTTACAACAACGAATGTAAAAGAACTTAGTGTACATTGAAGTGCTTTCATATGCGTCCTTCCTTATTTTTGCAAAGCATTTTAGAATTTGCACAGTATTTTGGGGGTCCCATGTCACAATACTGAGAAATAGCATGCTTCACCCTCTTCTGCTGAAATGGCTAACTTTGCCATGAGGAAGGAAGTTAGGTTCATTCTTATTAGAATCTAGGAAAATTTAAATTCAAGCTCAGACAGCATCAGGGTGTCTGCTACCATCAGGGTGGCAGAGTCTCCAGGTTATCCTTTGTTATTGGTTCTCTGTGTCTTCCGCAGTGATGGAACTTCCTGTAAGACAACCCCAACAGAACAAAGCCTACTTCACAGCCTCTTTCACAGCAAAATGTGGTCCTATAGCTTAAGTTCTGGCCATGAAAAGAAGGGTTGTGTGGCAGCTGCGGGAACCTTTCTTAGAAGGAAGCAGCCAAGTTTGTGAGCAGTATGTGTCATAAACCCGAAGGTGGTCCAATATAATACACTGGGATCCAATCTTTGCCTCCTTTTCTTTTCATTCCTTGTTCTGCCTGAAATGCAGATGCCACATCTGGGGTGAGGAGATGACAGCTGCCCTCTGGAGTTGGTGGAGTGGTGACAGGCAGGAGGGAGCCTCCTCTCTGTGGACCCTGTGTGGCAGAGCCACCACACTGAGCTGCAGACAGAGAGAAAATAGAGTCTATCATGTGTGAGCCTGTGCTATTTTGAGTTTCCTCTTCCAAATGAACAAGACCTGGCCAGGATTAAGAAGAACAGTAGGCCTTGTGCCACTCCTGGGGTCTATACTTGCACCACCGCTCTGTAGAGTGGCAGCAACACCTGGTAAAGCTGAAGACCTGCAGGGTCAGGTATATTGGGTTTGTCAGCAGGTGGCAGAATCCCAGGAAGGGTGTATTGCTCCCATCAGATGTCCGGGGCTGGTACAGTGGCTCCCAGCACCAGCAATTCCTGTTGTCCAAATCCTCCTTCTCTCGCCTTAGCCATGGCTTTGGTATCAAAGCTAAAATAGTACTGCTGCACCTCTGGCTTCACCCAGTAGCCCACCTCTCTGGATGTCAGTGCTGGCGGAGGATAAAGTCCCATATTGCTACCATGGCAACTCTTGTTAGAACCTCAGGAAATGATTTGGAGAGGTAGGAGCTGAGGACACAATTTCTTAGCGAAACAGAGAGCTGGGCAGAGTCGTTTGTGGATGTTCACCATTAACTTCACATGAGACACCCACGAGAATTCTCCAGATAACATTTAGCAAAGGAAAAGGAAAAGCAGAAATCACATCTCTGAGCAGAAGTGAGGCAGGACGTGTGTGTCCAGGCCCAGGAAGGTTGGCTTGGTTTCAGGAACAGCCTGTACAGCCTCAGGGTGGCCAGGTGGCCCTTGGAAAGGCTCATGAGCTCTGGAACTGTCCAGTGACCTTGGTTTGATCTTCTAGTGTTCCATCTATTGGCCATGTGACCTTATTTCCTCATTTGTCAATGTTGAAGATTTTAATAGAAAATACATAAAATAAAAACATGGGAAAGTGTTTCATTTAGTTGAGCATCTGGCTTATAAGAATTATTCACGGATGTTCCTTCTTTGTGGTCTCCATGCTCTGCCAGGCAGGTGAGAGTGGCTGTCACAGTGTCCCAAGGCTGGTTCTGAGCTGGGACATCCAGCTATGAAAGGAGGTAGTAATTGGTTTGGGTCCTGGCACGGTAGCAGGCACGATATAGACAAGGTCACCCCAGCCGATTTACTTCTCCCATAACTGAGAAGTCAGGACAGAAGGTTACCATGACCCCAGTAAAGCAAATATTATTGGTTTCAGGACTTAAGAGGGTGCAAATATTTGTCAGTACCTCACAATTATCTTGCTTTCACCTATCTGACTCATTTCTGGGGCTTCCTCTGTCGGGATCTGCGGCTATCTGCCTCTTTATTGGGGAAGCTTTAGCTGGAAGGGGCCAGTGGCAGGAATTCTCAGGGGCCATAGAAGGCTCTGGCACCCATTGTGATGTGGGTTTCTGTTTCTGTAGCAACAGTGGGCACCCCTGATGTCGTCTCCAGGCAAACACTGAGAAGTAGAGACCAGGGACCGGGAGGAAGAGTGGGTGTGTAGAGCTGTTGAGGCCCCGGAGAAGTGAGGGAACCAACCTCAGCTTCCTGGAGAGAATGGCCAAGGGGAGACGCTTCAAACCCTCTTTAGACAAGGATGGAAGTTGGGTAAGAAAGATGGTGCTTCTTGAGGCTTTCTCGTGCCGTGTGGGTGTGGTCAAGGGCACAGAATTGAGTTCAGATCCCCTTCTGCTTATGTCAGCATAGTCTTTGATAAGTTTCTTCCCTTTGCCTCGGTTCCTTCATCTGTGAAGTGGAAATCTCAGCATTTTGGGAAGGATTGGATGGAATAATGCATTGAATGCTCAGCACACCAGACATGTGTAGATGCCCCTTAGACAGCATTTATTATCTGCTCTTTTTCTGTTTTCCATAACAACTACCTTCTAACATACTACGTATCTCACTCTGTTTGGCACATTATTCTTCTCCCTCTCCTGGAATATAAGCTCCAGGAGGACTGGGACCTTTGTCTTTTTTATTCACTGATGTTTCCCCAATGCCTAGAATAGGATCTGGCACTTAGATATACTCAATAAATATTTATTACAGGAATTAATATTATAGTAGAAACTCTAAACAAATTCCTTGGCTGGTAATCTGATTCCCTTGGCCCCTCCGGACTATGAAATAGGCAAAGTCTAGGAAAGCACCATTCACCCAACTCATTCACTGGGAAACTTTCCTTTCCAGCTTCCCTCACTTCCTCAGACCCCACCCCCCTTTGAATTAAGAGATGGGTCACGCAGTGTTGCCCAGGCTGGCCCCAAACTCCTGGGCTCAAGTGATCCTTCCTTCTAGTAAGACCTCTCTCTTGAGTATCTCTTACACGGCCCAGAGGGATATAGCTTCGTTCTTAAGAAATAAGTGTGAGGTCTTAGACTTACAGGCCCACGAACTTCTCATCTGTTCTCTAGGCAGTGAGTGCACAACCCAGGGAGGAACATAAACGGAAGATTAAAAGACAAAACGAGAGAGGACAGCTATCTGCTCAGGCTGCCCCTGCTTCTTTATCAGGAGAATGATAGCTTTCCCAGCTACCTTGTCCTGTAGACCTGTGTTTCTGACTCAAGTTGGTCACCAGTTGCTTAGCTACAAGGGAGTCCAAGAGGGTATTTTTTAACCAATTGCATTACCATTTCAAAGAAAATCAAGTTCTGTTATAAGAGAGAAAGCATGTGTTTGGTGGTCTGAGCAACTGATTTGAAGGTAACAATATGCAATGGAATTACAATGGTGAACTCCCACCATCTTGTCTAGTGAAACTCTGTATTATCTCTACTGTTTTATTGAAGAATTATTTTCTTATTCCCTATAATGGTTTGTGCAACATTTCATTCTTACATCTGGTAATCTGAGCAATGTAGTTGAGGATAGCGATATGTCATGTAACAACCACTGTTGATTCGTATTATTTTATCTTGAGACTCTGTATCACTTTGAACATTCTTGCTTTGATTTGTTTATGTTTGTGATAGTGGTATGCTGCTGCTGTGCTATTTCTTTGTTTCTCATTTACTACTCTCTTTAAAATAAAAAATAAAAATAAAAAAAAAGAGAGAAAGCAAGGGCTGAGAATATGATAGAGTACTTGCCTACCATGCTTAAAGCCTTGGATATGATTGCCAGCACAAAAACAAACAACAGCACACACACACAGAGAGAGAGAGACCCATATTTCAGAGGCAGAAATTTCATTTCACTTTCCAGTTGAGAGTCAGGCATGCCCTCTGTTTCCCAGGTTTTAGGCGGAAGGGCACTAACCCCCAAAGTTTAACTTGAGACTTTGGCAGGAATCCTTTCTGCTGTCAGCACCTGGGAGCATAGAAAGAATAGTGCTGATATGAAGTTTCCCAAAGTCACTTGTAGATGGTTGGGAAAATTAAAGAAATTGTTGGCTTTGAGTCAGTAGCAGCCCATTTGGGAGGACAGTAATTGCCACATTAGAGGTGACAGTCATTTTGCAGTTGACCTTGCTGGTTGTAATCTGGCTGTTGCTGGAGAGGAAAGGCTTTTTCCACATACTTTCACTCTCCTGTTTAATATTTCAGTCATTGAGTGACTGAATGTAGCAAAAATTCTACCGCCAACTAGTTAAAAAGCTATATTTCACGGTTACAATATCTAACAGAAGGGTTTATTTCACAGCTATCATGTTATAGCCATTAAATATATATTTTAAAAGAGTGAAATTAAAATGCTAGGGCCATTTTTTATACAGTGGTTTAATCCATTGACTTGCAGAATACAAATGAACTCATGTCGGTTGTCATTTAACTGGTGAGAGCAGTCATTCCTTATGTCAGAGCAGCCTCTCCACTGGCCCAGTTTCCCATAACTTTCCAGAGAGAGTATGGATCAGTTGAACTGGAGGAAGAGACAAGAGATGATAATAGCCTTTAAAAGTAATTATTTAAAAGCATTTAAAATGCAATAC